AACTCATGAAAACGACAAACTTTGGCCACGATGTTGATGAGCTGGGGTTGAGATAGTCCAGCCGAAGAGTTGGCAGACCTGGAGAACAGCAATAATTCAACAGCTGATCAGTGGCCAACAAGAATTTTTTCAGATCAGTTGAACCTGATTTCCAACAAAATTTCAAAGAACAAGTCTAGCCTAGAGGCTAAGTTGCCCTTATCCTCTTAAAGATTTTATCTTCTAATTGAAAAAAGTGCAAATTATCAGGGTTCATGTTACTTTCCTCGGGAAGGAGATATTGCTGGAGTGAATTCAAGCTCTACGTGAGGTACTTTAGCTTTTTTTCTAAAATAAAGATCAGTCAGAGATGTAGAAGGTTGATGAATAGTAGACTCATCCATTGAAAATCAACAGTTCATTCGGCTGCTCTCATCCTCATAGATAATCTTAGAAGAACGTAATTAGCTGGGTTCCGGGTTCCAAGATTGAAAACCGATAACGTAATGAATGGCTAGTTATCGGGAAAGGACGATGCACTGTCCTGTCCGGTTGGGGACATTTTCTGAGAATAGAATTCACGTAGTAACTACTATTCTATGCATAATAATTATGCAGTAGTCTTGTTTACGCCATAGTCTGGCCTACTGAATATTAACGCTGAGTAATAAAAAGTAGCTATTTTCATAGGGCAACTTTATGAATGGCTTTGTTTTTGGCCAAATTCCAATGGCTACTAGACTAGGGTATAAAACTCGATCCCTTCCCTAGATCGAATTCGGGTTTTCTCGGATCTCATGAATTCCCTTCTGAGATTGCGATTATTCCGGGGAGAAGTACCGCCACCCTGTTCTATGCATTGCAATGCTTCGATATAAACTACATTCNAATTCAAGCCTTGCCTTTAATAGCGCGCGGCTGCGCGCGACTTTGTGCGACGAGCGCGACGCGGTTCGCGGGGAAAAGGTACCACACCCCATGGCACTCGACATGACGATCTAATGCCCCGCGCGCTTACGGATAACGATAGAATCAAAGCATACGCTCGCTAATGCCGTCCAGGCAAAGTGTAGTAAACAATTTCAAAGCCGATATCAAAAACTATCGGAAAAGTAGCAGCATCGAATGGGGGCGCTTGATTTCCATAAAATGCACTATCATCTGGGAATAACTGAGCGTGGGTTAATGACTTTCGCGGGAAAAATAACGTACTCCAACTATTTGGATTGGTATTTCTCAAAAGAAAAACTTTTGTTTCATGAGTAATATGAAAGTTTTTCGACTACTAAAAACTCTCACCTTCTAGCTAGAATTAACCGCTATGTTGCACTTTTAAGGTTCTGGCTTAGTTTCTGGAAAGGCATAGGTTTTCAAAGAAATGATTTTCAGAAAATTCCTAAGTTGTTATTAGGACTCATTGGAATGCGATAGGCGGTCTACATCATCTATTATTACTGACTTTTACTTATCCACTGTATATCATATTTATTTATCGAAAAGTATCTCATAATTTGTCCAAACAATTGTTGATAAAAATTGTTATTTGTTAATTTTGCTAGTGAAACAAAAGAAATAGAAAATAATAGTAGCACATCCACCTCAATAAGGGAGGCTAAGGACATAATTTTGTGTAAAAGTTGCGATGATATTGACGCAGAAACACATTTTTTTCGGTGCAGTTCGGACCATAACTTGTTATGACCATCTAAAACCATGGATCTACAGATACTGCTGAGCCTACCGATTACTTAATTTCCCCATCTGAATTTTTCCTGGAGAGATTCCCGAAGGGAGTAAATTTCAACTAAGAGGTCATCTTTGAAGTACGAAACCGATGGCATACGAAAGGAAAGAACCGAAGAATTAGAAGAAGACAAGACCCTTCTTTTTAAGANATTTTCATTCTCGAGGTCTTAAGTCTGAATAAGAGGTCTTAGTAATTCTGGTAAGGGGGAGCATGGTTCACTCTTCTTTGCACTAATTTTCTAAGAAAATTTTTTGTGAGTAAAATTTGTGCTTGTCCCACACGGCTTGGAACAACAAGACGAGCACATTCAAGATTTTGACAAATCTTCATGGATTCAAGCGGTCCACCAGTTCATGGAAGAAAGATGAAATAAAATCTCATCTCCAAAGCAGGCTCAGAGTTGGCTACGCATGGAAACTGGCTGCATCGAAACCCAAAAGTCCGACAGCAAGAAAGTAGCTGCTCTAGCTGATAATGGAGATTCGATTGTCGTTCACAATTTCAAAGATTAAAAGATCTCATGAGACTGAAACTTTGCAGAAATTCTCAAGAACGTTTTCTTTAATTGTCCACCGGAGGCCTATCATTCAAAAGACTTTTCTAATAGCAGTTTCTAGCTTCCCTAGAGGATTTGTGTTCAATGTTTTCCAGGAGTGGTACTAGTAGGTAGTAATTGATTGGGTGGGTAACGTACCTCCCAAGATAGATGACGAACGGATGGGAATAAATCACGTTGGTTACGAAGCAATTGGGATTAAATTGGATTTGACTAATCGAAAAAATGACATCTCGTAGAGGGTAGGCTGAAGAGATTGGGAGAGCCTACGTAAGGCTTCTCCTTGACTAGATTAAATCTGTTTGGTCAAAATGTTTTTGATGACAAAGCGGATTTCTAATGATAGTGAAGTAGGGGGAGTGGGAGTAGGGTGGGGGTGGAAGTCAAACGGTTTCAACAGGAAGAGGACCAGCTCCACTCTTCTTGTTGCCTTTTCTTAGATGTTGGAAGCAGTGCAATGGTAAAGGGCACACTATTACACAAGCATGGTCGCGGGTTCGAATACCGGATTGATATCCGTCTGGGCCAAACAAACCTTCCGTCCCTCAGGGTGGGTTAATTGGCTCCTGACTCGTCTAGGAGCATAAAAACACTGACTTGTGCATCGGCTGGACACTGCAAGACTGTGTATATACAAGTCACACACGCATTCAATACGCCACTACGATTCTGAATGGAAATCGAATGCGGGACTCATCCCTCAGACGGGGTCGATTAACGCCAAAGAACTTTATCCTCATCCTCGTTCATTAGGAGTGTTCTACAGGAAAAAATTGTTCCAAACACACTTTTCTCCTTATTCGAGGGCTAAGTAGGCAACGAGGCTCCTATTCCGTTTCGATCACATCCCGCTGAAAAAAAATCTTTAGATCTAGACCTCAAAATCGACGTCCCCACTTCTTTTGCTTGAAACAGGCTGAAAAAGTAACTGCCAGTAGCCTATGCGCATTTTCCAGAAGTATACTATCAGGAAAATTAGTTTTCGGAAACTACAACTCTGAAAAACAGTGAGCTAGGGTGCTATTACTACTAGATTACCTGTGTCCGCCGCAGAAGGTTGGCCAGCGGATGCCGATGTAATTATCATAATATTTACCGGGAAACCAGTCGTGGGAAACCGTGACCGTAAGCTGTAGTTCTAGTCGAAGGGACATCGCAATTTCCCATTGACTGTAATTTATACGTGAGAAAATCGAGATATTTTGAATGACTGCATGATTTTCAGATATAACTTGAACCAAAATGTAACATTCAGGCTTCTGACGTTCTCCTACTGGGAATGTCATGGAGTGAGTGGGAGCTTGTGAAGTCGGCCAAAAACGGAAAGTTCTAGGGCCTGAAAAAATCATCGTACATTCGCATCAATGGACTTATCGCCAGGAAAAGTGTAGGCCGTTAACTTGATGAAACTTCTAGCTGAGTGGAGCTTAAGAATCGGTTGATTCACATGTTCTCCATTCCTCTGAAGCGATACAACTCTGAAAAGCTTTTCAGTAGTCAACAAATTGAATTGCAGTTGAAAATGATGACAAAGCAGCCTCCGGAAAACCGTTTTTTCATGAACTTGTATGAGAGAAGGAAGCTGTAACTACCTTGGCCACGTTTCTCTTGCTGCGGCAAATGGGTGCCTTGTTCAGGGTCCGGTCCCACCCATCTTCAGAATTTGATTTTAATTTTTACGATATGAATCAGCTCTCTGAACAAATCTTTTATCTTTACCTCGATGCATATACAAGCTCGTTCGAGAACCGTGAAGATTCCTTTGCAGATGGCCTGAAAAGCTTCAAAATGTAGAAAGCTGATCTATTAAAAATATTTATCATGCAAAAAAATGTGACCAGAAATAGATGGGTAAACATCAATAAAAATCGTTGTGCAGCTTGAATAACACATACATCTTGGAAGATTATCAAAGTGTGTCCCGTAAACGACAAAAACATCTTCAGAGAAGCCCTATAGCGACAAGTAAGGGTTCTATACGACTTCTCTAATCCATTACTGACTCAATGCATTTAATCATAAATAAAAACAACTCAAGGATGACTGACACCTAAAAAATAATAACTTAAGTGAAACGTTCCATAATAAAGCCATCACGAGAAACCATTGCTGCATTGTTTTCATGCTCTATAAGAGATAAAAACAGGGATGAACTTTCTAAAAATTTCCTTCGAAAACCTATCTGACACTAATTAAACAATCTGTGATAACAAAAGCGTCATTATTATCAAACTTTGGGCTAGGGCCAAGGTCCACCACCTAAAAATATGATTCAGAAAGAACCATCACGGAATGTGCAAAAAACAGTTCCCCATGATCGGGCTAATAGGCGTACAATTCTATCGACACACTAATGGCCAAAAAGGATAAAGCAAGAAGTATCGAAGTGGCAGTTTGTAAAATGGGCAAACCCTATTATGACACAAATAGATACGGTAATTAAATAATTACATTAAAGCTACAAATACAAGCTCAGCTTTGCTGCAGAAAAAAAAAGTTAAAACAGGAGGCGCGAACTCTAAAGACCAGCTGGGCGCAAATTCTACAAAGTGGCAACTATGAAATACTCTTCGAAAAGATATGTAGCAATTGAAAAAATATTCGGTCCGTGACAAAGTAAAGCGAGTTTGTCACTAAATTGGTACATAAAAGGCGAAGAAGTCTCTACGTTAGATTGAAAGGACAGAGAAGGTGAAATTAAAAATCCGAAGGAGAGCGCTACGGCTCGTCTGTTTCTGCGCGTTCCTCCGCAAACGGTAGCGGCGGAATTTCAAACACTTGGCACAACGTAGCCAGAGTCCAACGACTTTGCTCTTCGCCATTGTTAACGATTTTGTAAATTTCTTCCTGAATGAAATTCGTCGGGTAAATCGGGGCCTAATTAATTGACTACATTGACTCACTTCAATGGACCCTCTCACAACAAAATTGTGCACTGTAACAGCACGCCATTGTCCGATACGATCAATGCGACCAATAGCCTTAAAGTTAAATTTGAAAAAAAATTAAATAAACTAAAAGAAATACTGAGAAGATCATCTTGAAAGAATCGTTAATGTTGAATCCCACAAGTTTGGTTTGGCTATGATCGAACCTGAGAAAGCACGGATGTTTCCGTTATGGGCTCCATGAAAACGACATGATTGGCTTCCGTCAAGTTCAATCCATTAGCCCCCATACGAAGTGGCATTAGAAGAATCTAGACATCACCATAATTAAGCATATTACGAAAACCAAAAAAATGCATGGAACCATCGAATCATGCCGTGTCTTTGAAATCAATTTTACAATTTCTGAAATTGGCATTCAATTTCCAGAATTTCCCCTAACTCGCCAGTCACCTTCAGACTGTCATCATGTCGGAAACGATGCAGAATCTTCGATCTCGATCCTCTATCGAGCACTGCGAAAGGAAGTTTCAGCAACTTCAAAAGCGCCGCAAACGGTGGTATCACAATGGCGATCGAGGTGAATACCAGTACCTAGAATATAGTGAGATAAAAGAAAATAATAAAGCACAAAATTTATGCTCCTGCTTTATGTTCACTTCCCACACATCGTCATCCTCTCCCTAGCAGCTATTCTGTCTTAATACCCCTTCGCTGCTTACCTTTTGTTTTGAACAGCAAGCAATAGTGGATCATACAGCTAGGCTAAAGTGCCAGCTATGTAGCTTCTTGTGAAGTGGAGGTGATCATCAATTATCATAGCCCAGCTACAAGCACTATGAAACAAACAATTTTGCCCCATGCTTACTGTAGCATCAGAAACTGATCATTTCGCACGACTTATTGGTCCTCCTGACCAAAGCACCTTCCCACGATCTCCCCTTATTTAGGCCCGTGACAAGTCAAACACGACCATGATGCAGTGTTTGTATGGAAAAGCTAAAGATCCTCACCTTATTGCTGGGATCTTCCGTGATCAATTTCTTCAGCAGTCGAATGATGTGTTCAAACTAAATGGAAATAACCAAAAAGAGCGGAAGGAAGATACTGGCAAGACGCCATATGAAAAAGCCTTCAAATATTTGTAATCAGAATGGAAAAAGATTGAATGGACGCCACACATCTCAAATTTACAGTAGATTGTTAAGGTTAATTCACCTACACTAGCAGTTCTTTAGTACTCGAGAAAAGGTCCCCAATTCTAAACCAACATAGCTCGATTTAGATAATCTGGCCAGGGTAAATGTTCAAGTGATTCTGAGACCAAACCCAATCCACGGCTTCGCCCCCAAACAAGGTCTCAAAAACTAGCCACCTGGTGATACCCTCAATGCTCCGCTATAGCCCTAACCTTGTGATTTTGCGCTTTCTACAGTTCCATCACGAAAGAGAAAGTTAGAAACTCGAGGGAAAATGGCCAAAAGCTGGTTGAATTATGAATTACCTCTATTTTCGACTAACTGTATCTCTGGTAACCGAAAAAAGAGAGCCACGTTTAGGCAGCAAATAATGTGTTCTTTCCTTTAATACAACCACAACATCTGTGCCAAAGACAGTGACTTCGAAAAGTCAGTGTGAATTTGAGAACGAAAACTCAATTATTTCCTATCAAACGCAGGAATTCTCTTGATCTTTTACAACAGCATTCCCTTTACTTCCATGGTCTTTTCATTTCATTCCATACGTTTATGTAAACATACCTTTACTGTGAGCCGAATATTTGGAATCAGGTCATCTTTCTTGTTCACTACATACATTGTCCCATCAATAGGGCACGGTCGTCTGCACGTTACACAGCGCAAATGCTTATCTTCAGATGAAGACACAACTCTTAAAAACATTTGTTGATTTATCATCTTCATGGTATTAGTATTTAGCATTAGGCAGCAGTCAAGATAATTGAATCGAAGCTATCTGTGTAATTACTGTACCATCCGCAAGCTATAGTTTACTTGATGCGATAATCTTCCTCGAAGAGGTCAATTCAAATACCACTTCTCCCTGTAAAACCCGACCCATAGCACTTGCCAGATGAGGTGCAAACCCGAAAAAATTTACTTTCTCTCTTAATCACTATTGCCTATAACGACATTAGACTGAAAGAGCCAAACACTATTTTCCAGTTTTCACGAATTTGTACGCTGTGCCAAGGAATACGTTCTAAAAGTTCAAAACTCTTTAGTTCCGCATTTCAACAACATAAATGCTTCTTGTGGTGAAGCTGCATATCTACCCCTATTTTCCAAACACTACACAACCAACCTACCATGTTAACCGTCTCTATGTTCATTCAATAAGCAAATAACTCACAATTTAAGTTTCCTAAAACACGTCGAACAAACTGTATGAGCACATGGAAATACCACCCATACACCATCCAACGGCACGTAACAGCATGGACAATCGCGTATAACCACACCACTTTGTGATTCCCTTCAAAGGTTGTTCGAAACATTTTCAAGGAACAATACAAAACTGTAATATGTAGTAACGTGAATTCGAAAAACTCTTACTGTAACAAAGTGTTGAGATAACGGAGAGAACTCAAGGCTCCAGACACTGATTCGACAGACTGCTTCTCAGCTTCAGTGAAATTAGTTATAGCCATCTGAAAAGAAATGTTCGGAAGGGCAGGAATGAATACTACTCTTTCCTAAGTTCAGCTCACCTTGAAATAGCCAGGCTAGCAAAACAACAATGGCGACAATACAAACGAGTGAAAAAACATTCAAAGCAAAATGATGGAAACTTGCATCAAGGTTATCACGAGAGAGAACGACAGGACGTGACGCAAATGGAAAGGAGACCTTCATCCCGAATTCGAAACGTGAACATGAACTGATTATCTCTCGCCTAGAATTTGGCCAATCTCGAGTAATTTGAATATATGAACAATCGTGATCATCTGAAGAATCCTGCGAGAAGGCAAAACAAGAAAGCAACATTGAAAACATTCAAAAACTACACAACAACGTCACAGTGGCTTAATAATTATATGTTTACTTCAAAATATTTCCACAAATTCTGTGCCTTACAGAATTGAGAAAGTCTTGGAATCATTAGATTCGCATAAGATTCGCCTCAACACCATTTAACCTAAACCATTTCTGAAGTCAGACCAATGCCTCCATAGCCGACCAGTCTCATTAAATCATCGTTTTACCCCGACAAAAATGCCGCGATTTCTTCTACCTCTCTGAGATCTAAGGGTACAGTGCGCTTGACCGTGTTCAAACAACGGTAGAAGTCTTTTCAGCAGCTAGTATAATTAACATAAAGAGGTAGTATAATCAACATGAAACGATTGATACTTACTCTCGATTGACCCATTCCTGCACAGCTGTCATCAGCTCGCGTCCTGCGGACACCATCTTCTCGCCTAGTTCAAGCCACTCGAGAAGATGCATGTGGAATGTTCGTACTGCATCCCTCGCAGGCAGCTGACTTACCCGATACATCCGCATCAGAAGTATCTCATATGAGAATTTGTCCTTACTGTAATTTGCAATTCAATGTAGTTGATAGGTTGCAGACTTTTTTTTATATAAGATCAACACCAAGAACAACGTACTACATGAATTTACTGTTGATTGGTAGTTTTTGGTGAGCCTTCTCGCATTCTATAATGTCACAAACGCAACATTTTTCCTTGTCCGGCCTGAAAATTATTTATCGCCATTATAGAACCCTTATGACCTTCCTTCGAATTCTGACGTTTTTCATCTCTCTAAACTTCAGGAAAGATATGCTATCTTCTGTACTGTCTCCAGCGCTTTCTGGCTACCAAAACACAGTTGCAAGCAAGAGGAAAAGATCTAAAAGATCATGGAGGAGATACTCCCTGCTTATATCTTACTCGTATAACTACGGGATCTATTCTGCGAATAGCGTACGAGAGAGAAGTAGTTACACTTATCGAAAGATCACGTTTCCCTCTTAATTAAGCGACAATTTCGACTACCTAGGCAATACGCGTTTTTCCAGCGATCCGATCGGAGAGCAGCTGCCACCACTGCAAGAAAAGGGCATACTCATGAAAATATAAACTTACTCTGGAAAGTATCCATCTGGCACAATCAAGCCGTCACCTATGCCGAGATACGAGAAATGAGGTTGAGGAGCATGTTTGCAGAAAATCAACTTCTTGAATCGATCTTCATGTAATAGTGGTGGAACCAGGGAATCCAACGATATTTCCCCATCGTCATCAATCCGCTGAAACAGAACATCTGAAGTATCGTCAACAATTCCAAAAATTCTAAAGAGCCTTTGAAGATTTGAAAATTTCAGGAGTGAAAGAGACTGACGTCATATATTGATATCATAAGCTCACTGCGATTTCACCCTAAAAACAGTTCAATGCAATAAAATCCAGTTATAAGTTACCTGTAGATTAAATGGCACTATGAGTGAGTCAACACTCTTGCAATACGCATGATATGAACGTCGAAGGTCCTTCAACTCCTCATCAAGCACAAGCAAATAGTCGAAAGGGTTGGCCTTCGTGACCGGTCTTAAAAAAAACTCTACAATTTGCTTATTAGGGAAGGAGCTCCGAAAAGGACAGCGGAATCAGAAACTGAAAGCTCACTTCTTCAGAGGACCCAGATTCTTCATGGGTATCATCTCTTTGAACTCATCGAAGTCAAGTGTGTCAAAAAGGTCATCCAGCATGATGACATACGACATTCGTAAGTAGTTGAACTGTAGCAGAAGGTATTTCTATGAGAACATTGTGAAGTACGACATCAAAGAAAATGGCTCGCGCAGAACCATCTAAGAGTTGCTCTCCCTGCTCCTCCTCCCGATTAATGAATTTTTTTTTCCTGACCTTTAGCCCTTGACCCCAGACCCAACTATCGTGCAAAAGCGCTTGGAGAGGCAAATAACTCACGAAAAAAGAGCTATGACACACCACCCCATGCTTTTCAAGTCATCGGATAATAGAATACCTCCAACTCGTTTATTGGCGCAGAGTTATGACACTTAGAAGCTTTGATCGAGGAATACAATTCCGAAAGAAGAACCTACACTCCAGTCCCGATTGTTCCACGATTTTTTCAAATGGTGATATTTTTTCGCGGCTTGAACGCAAGCAGCTACTTCCGCTCGTACATAGTGGCGATGACGTTCACGTGCGAGGTCTTCAATTCCATTTACTTCGTAATACTTTTTCGCTTCCATCACGCCATTGCACAATTCTTTCATGTTACTGAAATTTCCACTTGTAGTCCTAAGCTACCGAGACATGATCGTTTCAATACTAAGCTACAAATTACACTACAAGTCCTTGAATTAATAGGCTGAATTGCTGTTCAGACTTTGCTAGAACGATTATAATGCGAAAACAGCCTCAACTCAAATCACCAGTTACAATGCAAGTAAGCTATCGTTAACCTCAAAGCTCATCAAAAGTGGAATGTGCGATCTCCTACAAAGAACCGTTCCCAAAGAAATCAGCTGCGTTTTTGTCCCAAAAGTACCAAAATGCCGAGAATAGTCATTGTCCAAGCCTAGATTTATAACAGTAGGGTACTAATTACTTGACTCAAAAGGTGGGATGTATATACGCTGGACAATCATACAAACAGTTCGTTGTAGTACCTCGCGATGTGAAGAATTTGCAGTGCATCTATACTCAGCGGTTTGATTGGCTTTGCAACGTCTTCATCGGTAAACTCCTTATCTTCTTCGTCTTTATCGGTTAACTCCTTGTCTTCTTCGTCTTCATCGGTTAACTCCCTCTCTTCTTCGTCTTCATCGGTTAACTCCCTGTCTTCTTCTTCACCGTCATCGACCACCGCTTCCACTTTGGTCTGTATTTTCAAAGATTAGAGCGAAAGGGAATGTAATTCAAAGTAAGAAAATTCAATACGCACATCAGACAAAATCAGTGAGTCTTCCAGTTTTCCCAACCCAAACTGCTGATTCAATTCCAACTGATCATAGTGAACTTTAATCGACTTTTCGTACCATGAGAATGCACCAAAATGATCTTCCACCAATAAGTAAAGCCCGGCCAAAGCTGAAAAAGACTTTCAAGAAATCCAAGGGTCAGTAAAGATTAGAATTTGAGAAGACCAACCATTCCGATTCAGAACAAGATCGCGATGCCGTTGGACTACAAGCAACTTTGCGTCATCAAACAGCTTCCGGATAATCAACTTCGGAGAGAATATCCGGAAATCCGATATACAATTGAGATCTTTTTTCTGCTTATGGGATTCTCCTACAACGAACCGAAATTATCATGTCTGATCATTCACATAGGCTAAAATAAGAAAGTATGACAGTTTAACACTCGAATCGCATCAGTCACTGAGAACTGCTACGAAAAGAAGAGGCCCTTGAACGCGTACTCTTTATATATGATGAACTGTGGGGCCAGTATTTCTAAGTACCTTGGCACTGCCAGAGGCAAGTTCCATGTTGCACCGCACACTCAGAATGGGGTAGATTCAGGGGCATGGCTATTCGCTCCAACACAGACCCTCATTAACTGGTTATATTTCCAAAAGAAAATTGCTGCCTACCTTTTCATGGTAAAAAAAAGATCATGTACAATTCTACAACGAACACTCTTACCTGCTAATATTGATGCTCTGACGTCGTTAATCACAGAAAATATCGCATTCACTAAGTCTGATGGAAGTTTGGATAATTGAGTATTCCGTGGGTAATCGGAGCAGAGACAATACAGAATCTGACACATTTTCACCCTAGACTCCTCAATCCTCGCAAAATAAAGGCGCTCCTCGATTGGGGAGAATGATAATTCCACAAGGTTGTTTTTGCGGCTTACATTTTCGAGCTGAAACACCATGACGTGACAGAAAAACTGACTGAAGGAATTCAAGGATATCTAGAAATTCAGAAGTCGAACCTGGCTCTCTACATCCTTCTTCGTATTTCTCCACATGATTTGGCTCATTAAGGTAACCAACAAAGAACTGTTCGACTTGGTGATCCACGGATAGAAAAAGTAATGCGCCCAAATCGCATCGACGCTGTACGGGAATGCGCATAGAAAGTGCATCAAGCCATAGAGGTCTGAATTATGTCTATTTGACGGTGGAACACCTTGCCCGAGCATTAAGTTTATTCGCATTCGCAACTGCTTGAAAATGAAATTTGAATATCCTTCAGGCCTAAATGTATGAACAAGCTCGTATCAGAATATTCTCACAACTCCCCCGTACCATCCATACACTTTCCTTCTACAAATCCTAATATGTCTATGACTCACCGTTGACCGAGTTCGACATCGGCGTTCCTGTGACACACCAGCGATATCGAGATTTTAACAGGGAGCACATTTTTGCAGCCGCTTTCACCTTGCTGGCTACTAGTTGGGACTCATCTAAGCATATCTGAATAAACCGCTTTACAATAAGTCGAGTTGAAACCGGCTTGCATCCGATATTGTATACCCACACGCCAAAAATTCACTGCCAATAAAGGACTAGGGAAATTTTGAGTTCTTCCTGTGGTTGAAAATTGTGTTTTCCAAGACCCTATAAATGAATTAGATTATGGAGTGCGCATCTTCCCAAATAGACTTCAAACATCTTCCACAAACTTAGTGAAGAAGGATTGTAGTAGATCTCTTTCTGAAAGGTCTCGTAGGTACACAACACAATATCGCAAGAGTTCAAATATGCTGGATGCTTGTAACCTTCCACGCCAACACCATAGTAAACCTGAACTCAGTAGATGTAAAATAATGTTGAAAATTATTTAGGCCGACCATTGATGATGGATAGACGTCTGCCTAAGGTACCTATACTTAACTCACAGAAACTTCCAAAATCTTCCTAGCAACAGGCACCACCGCGTTACTTCCAAGGAAATCTAGGGAGCTAACAACGTACCAAATGCACAAGTCTCATATTCACGAGCAGTCGCTCTTACAAATCGCATAACATTCTTATTTTTCATCCTTCCCTTAGTACAAATTGAAGAACCTCCCCAACCCCTTCATGAAATTTCACCCTATCTGAACAAACGGATAGAATGGGGTAGCAAGGAAACGTTCGAACGATGATGTCCACCACACCATAGGCATTCACTACCAACAATAAAAGGAATGAACTCCTTTGTCCACTTTGAAATGATTTCTTCTAGGGTAACGATGAATGCGCTGGTGCTTCTATACAAAACAAATCTGATTCATTGCCATCCTACAATGGACTCAAAAATGCTAACTCATTTAATTACTTAGGTAACTGTGCTTCCTCACCCCTACCAGCTGGAGTTCCAAATAGAAGAACTTACATCAACAACAACATCCTTTTTGCAATGACGACGAATTTCTTCGAACCATTGGTGGAGTAAAGCTTCTGGAACGACTATGAGTGTCGTAGAGATTTCGAAAGTCATCCCCTGCAAAAAGCGGACTTAGACTTCTTATTCTGAGTTCGAATTACAACGTTATAAATGTAAAACTAAAATAAAATTAGACTCACTCTATCTGCTATACAGACTGGGCAAACAAAACGTATAGGCAGGGCATCGAGCTTTGATGACCAGTGCACCTCAAAACGCCTATTTAGAAGAGTTTATAAAAGAGAACGATATTTCAAATAGAGCAATCTGGTCAAGGGTTAGTGCAACAGAATTCATAGCTCAAACATAACATTTGACATCATAAAAGAAACCACTATGTAAAAACAAACAAACAAACAAACAAACTATTAAACAAACAACATGGAAGTTAAAGTGGAAGCTCACAACAGTCTTCTGAAAGTCCACGGTACAGATTTCACAGCTAACTCCCTGCACACGCGAGCTTTGACTTTTAGAGCATCCGGCCACAGTCGAACGCGCTTTCACAGCGCTACCATCGCAGAAACGTTTCTTAGGAGGGCCCTGAGGTCGAGTAACATTAAAAGAGCAGATTGAAATGGATGAAAACGAAACTGACCAAGTCCTCTGTCTCCTCAGCTGCAACTATTGTTGAAACTATGTATTCAATGCATGCACGGACTTCATAATCAATAGAGCTAAATTCGTAGTAATAATGCACAGATGTTTATAGGTTTGAACCCCCTCTAAGAATTTGATAGCAAAATCAAATTAAAAAGTAAAAATACCCGTCACAATACGCTGAGCTCGTTCCTTCCATCGTTCCGTTAGGGTGAGCGTAAGGCTGAGGAGTATTCTCCGGAGTGTGAGAAAGAATTAAAGACAATAACTCGACAGTTTTCCCGAGACCCATCTCATCAGCAAGAATCCCTCCTGTTCAAACAAAAACTCAACCAAATGAACTCGAAAACGACTGTTATCACAGGCTAAAAGAATAGTTGTGTTCATGACACACCTCTGATGTCCTGAGCGCATGGGCTCAAATGCAAGTCTCTAACAAATAGACCAAGATAAGGAAAATAGTAAAGTGAAGTGAGATCAATAGGCAGTTTAACGAAGCTGTAAAAAGATGGAAGTAATTTTGCTAAAAAANAAAAAATGAATCTAAGCGTACATTCACCTCATCAACCTTCCAATTTGGCAATTGGGATGAAGTTCCCTGTCTATCATAAAATTAACAGCATCTCTTTGGAATGGTAGCAACCTACTATTCAGCTCTTGCAGACTAAAATAGTTTTTTCGAGAAAAGCATCAAATAACTTAATGGATCATAAAAAAAAACACCGAAGTTTTCTAGTCTTGTTCAGAACACTGACCGTTTCTTTTTGTTTATTATTCAAAAACAGCTTACTTCAACTTGTATGAAGGAGGACTTCGTCGGCCATCACGAAGCATTCCAAAGAAAACGTCGAAATTTTCTCTAGATCCTACCAAACTACGAGCTGACCAATAGATAGGATGTAGCTTTAGATTCTGAAATGGAATGTATTACCTATGCGACAGCATATCCTGAAGACAACTTTCAAAATGAGCACTTTCAGTATTATCATTGTTAGGAATTTTTTGCAGGAAATTGGTTAACAATCGGAAGCTTGGACTTAGTATTTAGCTTCAAAAGGCAATACCAAGAAAGATAAGGAAAGATTCACGCGTCCTCCTACCCGCTCAATAAAGATTCCGCATTAAGACCACAAAAGATCAATCATTGTCAAAATCGAAAATAATAAGAATGAATGACCAACATATTAGGGGATGAAGAGGGCAAGTGAAAATTAGGAAGGAGGGTAAGAAAATCTTGTATGATCGGAGGAGATGTAGGCACATCAAAGAGCAGTACGAGAAAGTGAAGCAGTTTTAGTTACTGGTACCCATTTTTATGAAGCCAGAATAAGCTTAATTGACATTAATGAGAGACGCTGACCACATTGCCTACCGCTAATCATAAAATACAAAGGTAAACCATCGTAAAAAAAAAGTTAATAGAAAAAGTAAATGCAAAAACCTCAGCAATGTCGGGGAACAGATTAGAAAGTATGATATTGGCACAGCGATTATAAGCGTATCGAACCACTTTACGAATCACATCGGCAGTATGATAGCTATCGTAACTATAAGTATACGATTCTTTGAGATACACATGGAGAAACGTCTGCAATCCTTCTGAACTCCATCGTATCTCAAACCCACACGATGTAAGTGCACTGAAATCCAGTGGGTAGGTAGGACATCCATCAGAATTAAGCCTGCATCGGAACACTTTAAAACTCACTCAGGAGTAGTACCAAGAAGTTTCTTAGCCTCTGGGGTTGCGCGAAAGGATGATATTGCCATAACATCCTGTTGTGCACATGGGCGCTTTTTGGACTTTTTCACTGGACTGGGGAAAGGTTTGCCGTAGATCTGGAAGCGAATACACGGATGTTTTCGGGAGATACTTCGGAGCCCAGGCTAGTTCTATTCCTCATAAAATACTTACAAAGTTCAAATCTGCTACAATGGGCGTCTTTAGGAAAATTTGTTTATCCTCCTCTGAGTCGAATCTATCATCGAGTGGCACAACACTTTTACCCAGTTTGAAGGAACCCAATTTCAACAGGTGTTTTCGTTCATACTCGTTGTGTCGACATCGCAACACAATACCGCGTGGCTCTGTCCAACGAAATTCCTGTAAATATTATACGTTTTGAGATCCTTTGAACAAATTCGAAAAAAAAGATGTATTGAAACGCCCCTACATAAAAAAGCTGGTTCTAAAAAGCCTTCATTCCTAGCGCATTCAACAAGACCTTCATGATGATTCCATTCATAGTTGTTTCTACTGATCTACTTGATTAGCTAGTTTTGAATGCCGCTATTCCAATCCCGTCAGATTTCCAAAAAAGGTATACCGATCTGCATTGTCAAGAGGTGAGTTCAGTCGTAGATTGGTGCTATCTTAAAACCCAATAAAAATGTGGACTACAGTGAGGCGGTTGTCTGAGATTTAGGGATTGTATATGCGACATATTCTATACCTTCACAGCTGTTTCTAGCTTTGGTAAAAGCTATACAATAATTTTAACAATTAGAAAGGCAGGCAACCTTTAAATCCTCTCCTGGAAGGGTGACAGCCGCAGCAATTGCACACGCGGAATCGTTCATGTCGCTTAAATCGCCCATGGCTCCCTCCTGAACATATTCCTCAATCACTTCGAAACACAAAAATGGCAAAAAGGAAAAAGACCAAAGTTCAGAAGAACGGTGAATTCTGAGAAAAAATCCTTTTAGAAAAAAGTTCTATGCTTTTGTAGAATTGAGCTCGGAGGCTGTGCGATGCGATTCCTGCGACAGGAATACGCAGTTGTAGAGCACAAAGACTCATTTCAGAACAGCGTACTCAAGAGTGACCATTTTGATTTGTTGTAATTTCAGCATTACAAAACTGAGCCGAGGCGACCCTCACGAACGAGCTTAATTTTCTTCTTTATTCATTCCTATTGTAAAACGGACCTCTAGGGAATAGGTAATCGTTTAATTGCACGAATACTGTCCCACGATACCGCATTTTCACAAATGTTCACATCGACAATATTATAATTTTCTGGCGAGTTACGCGTTTCCGTTGCATCCGCATTTTTGAGATTTCGTTATTTTTCCACAATTTTCGAACTTTGGGCAGCACTTCATGATAAATGGTGCGGCAATGATGTGTAGGCTTTCCTCTTTTCCCTCCCTGAACGCATATGACCACGTTCTCTGGGCTTTGTTCCGGAAGTATTACGAAGAATGTGAAAGGGACGTAGGAAATGGAGGTTGGATTAAATATATTTTCACACCATCCCGGACTCAATTTGAGATTGGATTCTTACTGAAAAGCAAGAACGGTCATGGACGATAAAGTTCAAAAAAAGGTGTGATTGAAATTCGTGAGAAAGAAGGATGGAAAAGAAGTTGATCCAGAACAAACTGATAAACGGCTTACACGCCAATAAAGGACACCCATATCACAGACGATGCCAGTAGCCTACGGGAATTGAAGGTGCCAATTGCTTCTTGTCCTTCATTCCCGAATAAAATAAACAATGAGTTTTATAGGAAAAGGTTCCGTTCAGGTGTAGAAAAGAAGGAATTAGCGAGCTCAGGAAGAAAGAAAAATTGAGTAAGGTATGACCACGACAGGAATCAGCAAAACATGTCGTAAAAATGATCACATCAATAATCACTTTTATACCTGGTGGTAGGAACGATCTTACATGTCTTGACGCCCATTTTCAGGATTTTCATGTGTTTTCATGTTAACTGGTAAGCCTTATCGATAAGTTTTCATTTTTGAAGATGTTTTTTCTTTGTCAACTAAGTAATTTAGGGAAGAATAATTATAAAAAATACTTATTCAGTTTTATATTAAAGAGGTGTAGTGGCAAGTGGCGCACCGGCACATACGCATGATCTCGGGTTCAAATCCCGGCTTTATTTCCGCCTCCGCCAACCAAGCCTTTCATCCCTCCGCGGTCGGTTAATTGGTACCAAACTTGTCTGGGAGGATAAAAGCACTGATTTGTACATCGGCTGGCCACCACAAATAATTATATTAGCCGCATAGACATTCAATACGCCACTATGATTCTAAATGGAATTTGAATGCTCGGGCGCATACCTCGCACGGGATTGATTAATACCCAAGACTATATCCTTTATAATGACCACAACTTCTCATGCACCTGGTGTATGAGTACAAATCATTTTGAAGAAAAAGATAAGTAATCCCTCGATACAGTTAATTCCTGATTTTTCACATTCGGTCCCTCACGAAAAATCCAACGAGCTACTAATAGGGAAAACCACATCTAGCTAATCTCGATAGTACTTGTAGAAATTTCAGATTATCAGAGAATTCAATTGAGCTGAAACTTACGAGAAGTGGATTCATAAAAACAGGATTTCTTCCTCACGCCACACTCAATGGGTTGAACATTCCCGAATATTTCAACTATATCGATTGCGAGTTAGCACCGGCACCGAATGGCAGGCCTAGGTTTCGAACCAGCCATGGAAGCATTCTTTTAGCATACAACCATCTACTTAGCATGCCTTTTGAAAGCCCCGTTTTAACTATTTCGTCGCAGCGATAGATGAAAAGGGATTCGATCGGGAAAGTTGATTCAAAGCAATTTGCTTACTGTAAGACAACAGCTGGCGCTTGATATAAAATCAGCGCGATCCAATGATAGACTATAAACTTCAGTATATACCCACCCATCGATATTCCTGCAGTACCTCCACCACTTGCTACCATCACGTCAAGTTGTAAAGAATTAGTCTCTGTTCTTCCATTCATGAGAAGAGTGGTAAGACAAATCGCACAACACAAAAGTACCACAAAAACAGGTTCTGAATTAATTTGGTGCACTTCGTGCACTCCTTTCACACCTGGGAATCAGCAAACGTGGGCATTAAATGTAAAAAGAAAGGGAAAGCCTCATCGAACAAGCATGGGCGAAATTAGGTAGAAGCGAGTAATGAAGACTCTATGGCTCCACAGTCTGGGTACCCTCCAGCGATAATGAAGATAACACCAATTTTTCCAATGCACCGTGGAAGAGAAGTTACCTGGGATTCTCCATTTCAGTAGAGTTCCGGGATGATTTGGTCTCCCTCTGCTGATCAAGGTTGCACATTACTTCCATTGCCGAGGGGAGCCACGCCCTATGGCCAAAGTACAATTGGAGCACATGAGTTACAACTCATATCACCACCCATATCTATACGACACAACTCTAATCGGACAACTCGTCCACAAAGTTCATTTACTGATGACAAACAAATAAATTACATCACTCCTAATTGCACAACATTTCGCTGTCTAAAATTCCTTGCCCGACTGCTTTTCGCGTTTTTTCGACTCCTCCCCTTTTTGGCATTTCAAGGCTACTAAGAAGCAGCTGTCATGAACATTTTGGAATTCTGATTCAACCTGTTTCACATCAGCCCCCAATACATGTTGTTTCCTTCCTAATGCACTTCTTCACCTACAGTATTTGTTACCATACTATCCGTTTGCAAACGTGGGGTGAAAAGGTATTCTCACAGGAAAGTCAACTGAGCAAAGCTTCTTGGGGATATTTTGCAGATTATCTCACTGAGCAGATTTATTTTACACCGACTCGAGTGAACGAGGGATATTTGTCTACAATATATGTGCACTTTTATTCATGCCGCAAATCACGAAACTAGAGATAATCATAGACAGTCACTGCTTAACCTTACCGGTTTGAGTGAAAAAGAACATATTAACTGTTTATTAGTTCTATGAACAAAACAATCGGCACATATTGAATCATCAATAACTGCTTCTAGAGAATAGATTTGAAATAGAATTCAGCAATGACATTGCCACAAATATGAACTTCATGAAATAGGAATGACAACCATTAGATTTAGCTCGGACGACAGTGTTCCTTTCAAACTTCTTGTCACACATTCACACGAATAACCTTCTACATGTTCACAAAACGCTGTTTAAAAAACAACAAGATAAGTAGTAACAAGTGGTTAGTTACAAAATGTTAGAACAGTCAATCTAAGCAAAGTATTCTGTCAACACTGAAGACGGAGTAATGACTATAACGAGAAGTACCGGAACAACAAACAAACGTGCCCTAGAAGAGGTATTTCTTACATTGTATTTTAGCAACAACATGAGGTAGACAAAATAGCAAAACCAATTCTGATGCGAGATTACCACCTACACCCGTGTTAGCCCTTTTTTTGGTCAAAGTGGACGAAAAAGTTAATCAAGTAAAGTCATTTCAGTTTCATCTTAGCCGCTAATCTTTGCTTGGCAGTGGTAAACTTCTTCTTTGCCGGAGCACGAGCATGGAACGAGCTTGCTGTAATGTCGATATCAAAGCGTAAAGATTTTACCACACAATCCCTCTGCTTCAGACCACATTTGTTCCATGCGCAAAGCAAGGACATGGTAAGACATCCGAGCATATTCTAATAATGCACTCACTGGCCAAACTTGCAGAAGGTAATAATATTACATAAAGTAAACTCATTCCTATGTGTTAAAACCCAAAACCTATAGATGAGATGGTTAAAGATGTACCTGCAGGTGCCCTATCCTTGCCCTTTTTCTTATTCATTTCTCGGAGCATTTCCGCTTCCTCTTCTTCACACGCCCTCTCCATTTCTGCTTCATAGGACACGACTTCTCTCAGAGGTAATTGATCACCAACTTCTGAATCAGAATAATTGTGAACACCGACTTAGTCTTTTCGAAAAAAGGCATGGAACTTTGCAGATGGTCATAACCACCATTTCAACCTTGCCTGTTATTCGTGACCATAATCAATAGATGAGCAAAGGTCTACCTTCTAAATGTTTGGAAGTCTTTTCCAACTCGTCCAATCCTACTGCAGCAGCAAGCCAAGCAGATGGACGAGGTTTTCTTCCACTGTGGCTTCGACGTGCGAACATTTGAACCATGTTCACATCCTCAAGCATCGGATCTGGTTTATCTTCGATTGCCGCAGCATACTATAAAACGAGAAAAAGAATCTGAGAAATTAATTTTTAATGAAAAACATTTCAAACAAATGGTCGAAATGCCAACACACACTCTTTCCCTTTTTGGTCAGTTTGAGCCGGAAATCCGCGACTAAATCAGTGTCCAATTCGCCGGAACTTGTGTCGACTCTGTAAACGTTAGCTCAGCGAAGAGAGAAAAAAAGAAAGTGTGCATAGAACATTCAGAGATTACCCTGCTGATCCCGTCGTCACCTTCTCGGACCCCTCTTTCAGAGGCACAGAAGCGGACTCAACAGACGTTACACTACTTGTACAAGGCAAATCCGTATTTGAAGCAGCGAAACTCCGGCTCACTGAAAGTTGAGTCTGACTCATAAGCACAACTCACATAATAAACTTAGAATTTTTTTCCTTGATCATGTACACGATTTTTACGAAAAATTCAAAAAAGTCCGTTTGCAAAGCTTATGAATGTTTTGTTGTTGTACGTTCATGAAGTTTAATTTTTTCTCCTTACACAACCGAAAATGGTGACAACACTTTTATTCACTTAATAATTTAATGAACTTAGGATGTGCGAAGGACAAAAAATAAAACAAAATTATCACTGCTGTAGATAAAGCTATCAGAAAGCAGGAATGCGACGACTAATTCAAATACTGAATGAAATACCTAATGAAATGAAAGAGAATGAGCAAGATGATACCAGTCCCTGCAGATGCTTAGGTCTCAAAGTTTGTTTTAGCTAAGGTGACACGCATACGAACATAGTCTGGGTAGTAAAAGCAAGAATATTCCAGGAAAGATAAAGTGAGAGAGATTAAAGCGGAAAGGCTTTGCGAAATGACACATTCAAAATGAGAGCGAGTACAGGCTTCACAATTTGGTACAAATGAAAACTAATAATTCCTATCTTTTTCATAGCTTTCTAATAGTGCAAAACCAATGGTTACGAATACAGCAAACTGCAATTAATTACCTTCGGCAGGACTGGGTGGATCCATATCTTGAGATTTCCGTTTTTTCGGTCTCTTTTTAGGCGATCTGCTACCAGGAGACAAGGAGCGACGCAAACGCTGAATGGGAAAGAGTACGATAAATTGATTATTGAACAGAGGAATATAAATAGCGATGCTGTCAATTCAATAATTCCAACCTGCTGCTTGTTTATCTCCCTTTGCAATTTCGCTAAGACATCATTGAAGGAAGAGTGAGTGAAGTTTGCTTTATCTTCCTGTAACTCTGGGTTGGTATGTGGAAAAAATCCATGAAGATATACCAACACCAATCATAGCCTTGCCCACCTTATCCCTTCTCATCCACTCTTTTAGTCGAGGTAGTAACGCTTGAGCTGCCTCCATCATATACTTGTCCGCTCTATTCCCCTCATCGTTGGCCTCTGCAATTAACTAACTTGCTCGCAAGCCATTATTGACATACGACAACACATTAAAAAGCAATTTTACAGAAGTTGTGCATTCCAGTGAAAGATAGTGGAAAGAAAGGTGGCAACGGTACACAATGCAAAAACTAATTCGGATCAAAAACATAATTAGCAGCAATTCTTGCGTTGAGGAATGGGATGGCGTCTCTTCCACCTAAAGACAAAAAACTTGTCCCAAAGAGCATCCAATGACACTCTTTGGTTCAGAAAAATTGAGAGCCTAGAGAAAAGAATGGTAAGACATCCAACGCATGAACGCGTGATCGGTACCGGATCAACGTCCGAGAGAGAAAGTGCACGTACAGAGCAAGTACCTACGGCAAAGCCACGTAAATTCGCTCACCTCGGAGATGCTCCAGTATGAAGGACCTTGCAGCGTACCAGTTTACCAACTCAAAATGAGGAAATAGGAACTTTTCTTCCCATCCTACTTCCCTTTTTATTCTCTGCTCCATGTCGTACACTCTGAATAATCCGTCAGAAAGTTCAGTAAAATCTAGGAAGGTAAGAAAATTTTGACAGAGCAATAAAAATGAAAAAAATTCACTTAAGCTGCATAGGAACGTTCAATGCATGAAGAAAATTCCCTCCAAATACTAGTGAATCCACTGGGGTATAAACCGCGTGTATCCACCCTGAAGGAATCATCAATGTTTCTCCAGCATCAATAAACACCTGAAAATCAGTCAAATAGAACAATTTGACAGCATACCGACGACAAAATTCTAGCAGATTATCTTTGCCAAAAAATAGAAACTTTTGAACTTTGTCGAAATTCGAGGAGTAAAGAACAATCGATCGTGGAATAAAAACCTACCCTTCGCAAGGCTCCTTTAGGCAAGAGATCACCAAAGAAAACTTCCGTTCTATTTTCAGACCGCTGATATTGTTCAAAAAGGTCCAAATATTCATCTATTGGCTCTACTATATAGAACACTTTTTGGCCCTGAATGGAAAGCAAATAAGACATTACCAAATATGGAAAAATAAAAGCAAAAAGGTAAAATACCTCATATATATGATACCAGACGCTTGACCCTCCAAAATCAATGTGGAAGTCAGTATAAGAACCAGCCATCCCGCAGAGGCAGAATAGCGCAACCTCCGGCTTATTCCTACGATGTTCTTCAAGAACTTCCACAATTTGGCGAACTGTAAGAATGCAAGTTTAGTTTACCGCGCAAGCTTCACAGCAACAAGTCATACCCATGGATACGACTGCTTTGATAAATATCGTGAGATGGAAGGGGTTGGAGGTGCAGTAGATGTGCAATGAAACAATAGGCAAGCTCGACGAACAAAGACAACATAGAGTATGAAGGTTAATAGCTAAATGGCATAATGCTGACCACAACCATCCCAAAACGATCAATGTACGCTGAGTTACGGAAGCTTTATTAATCATAAGAAAGAACTCCTTCGAGTAGTGAATGGGTTGAACCAGCAGTACACTATTTTATTCCAGTCATGTGATTACCCCGTGGAAACTGTTAAAAAATAAAATTCAACTGAACAAAACATTCGAAAACAATATTCCCCATTTTTTAGAAATTTACAGCAGATCTGAATGAAGTAGGTCAATAAAAAGGGAAGGAAGGAGGCCAGTCCGACACACATCATGCTTCAACAACACAGACATTTTGAGAAACTTGTAACATAATTATTTTTACAGTTGAGAAATTTTGTATTCGATTACTTAACTTCGAATAGTAACCAAAAATAGCAAATTTGTTCTAAAAACAAAAACTTCACTTTTCAAATGTATAAGATCGGGGAGTCATAAAAATCTGATCACTCACCCTTCATCGATGATGGTAGGTAATCTACTGAAAATTTGTGCATAAGAAAAAAGGTGGAAAGCATGTGAAACAGAAGCCGAAGTAAAGATCAAAAGAAGAAGTGTAAGACAAAAGAAGCATAGTTTCTCATTTGCAATCTAAGCAGAAAACTTAACAACCTACGTTCAGGATCCCAGTTGATGAGATCATTTTTATCTGGCCACAGCTTGTGAACAAAACTCAACTCAGGTACCAATATCGGTGGGGAGATCATCTTTCGCATGCTGTAATTGAGACCGACTTCAGATACCAATCATCATACCAAATGGAAACACAAAAATACACAAGAATGTCAAGTAATCTAAGGAGATCTTCTTTCCCTCATTGCGGTAAGACTAAAAACAACGATGCTCATAGAATAACATACTCAACAGGCTAAATTACAGGAGCTCTCATAATGTTGATTAGCCACTTCAACAAATAGCGAATGGCTTACGTTTCATTTTGACTGAACTCCAAACTGAGAATATTGTAGAGCCGAGGACGTTCCTTGCTGATCATTTTGTCATAAAATGCACCAATCGACATGCTATGGGTAACCTGACGGTACACATCAATGGTATCCACTTTGTAAGAGCGCCCTAAACTTACAGAGCTATTACGCAAAGTCCTACAAAAAACGAAAGATTACTAAAACATTCTGAAAACTGACTGATATATAAATGAAAGAGCTGGCCAGTAAGAAAATCAAAAAACGTGCAGAATAACGTACCGAAAATGTCGACGATTGAGCTTAAAGTGAAGTTCTCTTCCTTATCGGGCACTCTTAACTCTAGGCCACGAGCCTGCTTTATCAAGTAAATCTGTAACAAAGTTAAGCAATCACTGCAACCACTGATGAACGGTGATTTTCCAAGAAACGAACCTGCTTCCAGACTTCTCTACGATTAAAACGATCCATAAACTCAAACCCATTCTCGCATACAATAGCATGGTTTTCGCTTCTGGAAATCCCACCACCTTTCTCAATTTCTCGAGTATTTTTGAAGACCACTGCTGTAGAAGGCGAAGGCATATGCTACTTACGGTGCTGGGATATCCGCTTCAGTCTCGACGAATTTCTTAATCCACACCTCAGTGCCGACCTCAGGAGGAAGCTCAGTTTGAAGCGGATCGTCGAAAGCAAATCGATGACGCAAAAGAATGTTTTTCACTGGAACCAACTCAATAAGTCGCAGTTAAAATATGAACCTGCCTGGTTTCCCCCTGGTTGCTGTAAAGATATCACAAAACACTTGTTTAACAAAACAAGCGAGAGGATCATAGACTGAAGGAATTGAACATTGAGCACTAACCCGAACAAGAACAACCCGGAGCTTCTAGTATTCCTGGTAACTCGAAATGCGCCCTAATATTGCGAGCCAACTGTCTCGGTATAAAAATTGACACTTGAAAACAAGGAATTAATCAGCAATCCGCCATCACTATTCAAAGCCTCGCGTAAACGGAACAGATAGTAGAGAAACTGATGTATCCTAAGAGTCAAACCCAAGTTATGAATTAAAATTTCAGACAACTGCTGCTGCTTTGCACGAAAACAAAGGTAAAGCTGTTCCTAATCAAAAGCCTACAGACTAGAGTGGTATGGCAGAAGTAAGAAAGCAAAATAGAAACAAACAAGAGCACAAAAAAAGGGAATCCAGCAAGGATAAACAGGACGTCGCTGCATCGGTGAACCCTGAGCATCAGGGATATCCTAGGAAAACGTTGAATAACACGTTGGTAGCGAGAACAAATCAGAGAAAGGTTAAAACACATTTCAATTCTTACCGCAAAGAAAGACAGCAAGTAATTAAAAGCTACACAAAGATTCATACACACTTGGCATCTAGCTGCTGCGGAAAATACAGAGGTACTCACAAAAATGGTGTGAAATTTAGACCAGATTTTTATTTTTTTTTTTTAGATTTTGTTTCGATTTTTTTATTTTTACATCTAGAAATTTAAAACGCATAAGAAAAGAAATGAAACAGTAACCAAAAAAAAGAGGAAGACTGAACAGTAAACTTACTTATAGTCGGTCCATGCATACTCGCACAAGACGCACAGTGAAACTTTTCAATAAGAACATCTTCGTACTCTTCAACACCCACACAACTGAAACAATCATCAACAGTGTTTGATAATAAACAAATGAAGCAATTCGAATGCAAAATCTTCATTTAGAACTTCTGCAACACTTACTTTCCATGGAACCACTTTTCACAACAGTCGCATTGTATCCAGAACGTATCAAGCGGATCAATTTTTATATTTTGGCCGTGCTCAGAAATTTGTTCGACGAGAGGTTCACCGGTCTCACTCTTTCTGAACCCGTTTAATACAACTAATGGCTTAAAAATATTGTTAAAAAATCAATGTAACGATTTCAGAGTGGGACGTACTCTGGTACCCAGATGGCCTTCGCAGGACCACATATACCGCATTCATTAAAACTACCCGCAGAATGATTATTTTGAGAGACCTGAAATGAAGAATAACAGCTCGATGAAAGCATGCAGCAAAGCGAATTGTTTTATAATTGTAACAACAAAACAAAAGGCGTGTAAAGGCGTTGTTGCGTGAAAGGAATTATAGTTAATTCAGATGTGCATCTCTAATTTCTAATAAAGTTCAACAGATTAAAGTTCAGGTTTACAGCAATCGAGATTAAATTATCAATTATACCATAGTATCAATAGACAGCGGTTGAGATCCATCTAAATGTTCTTCATTTACACCAGCCTTCGCTTCTTCTTCCTAGAATTTACTTACATGATGACCGGTACGACCTACTATTCAAGAATAAGTAAGAAAAACCTGAGTGTCCGCAAACTTCTGATCTTCTTTGAGCCTTTCCATGGGAAAACACTCTTGGTCCGTTTGTCCAGACCATACACTGGTAATTCCAGGTACCGGTTTTGATACATCCTCAGCTCCCATGACAGACGTCGTCTCGGTGGACTGTGATTTAAGAACAGTATACTGATTAGAAGATGATAGCCTAATCACAGATGTTGATGAGGTGGAGGTTGGATCTCCACTAGAAGCAACTAGAGGATCAGAATGAGGTGATTTATAAGAAGTATCTGTCGGTATGAGCCCAAAAGGCATTCCATACGTTTGAGGTTGCAAAGGGTTTGTGCCCACCGTGGACTGTGCTTCATGAACTTCCAAGGGCGGTTCCGCGACAGAAGTGGAGCCACTCGAACTAGGTTGAGTAGAACAGACTCTTTGCAAGTGACCTTCGGCAGAAGGAAGGTTAGAGCTGCTGGGAACAAATTCGTGGAATCCATACTGTTGATCAGTCATAACTTGCGGTGTTCTCGTCTGTTGACTCCATTCCATGGCACTGAAATATCAGGCTATATGTCTACAAATGTACTTCGTACGACTCGAGCAGCGAATATGCTATTCTATGCTGAATATTTGAGTGATTTATACATTAAATTATCTTAGTAATTTGTCTGATCTAACAAAGATCCAAGGGTTTCAAGACTTCCGAAGAATGCTCGCTTCTACTCAAATGCGGACCCGGTCTCATACACCCACTGTCCGTCCCCAATTCGAAATTCTAATAGTGACTCCACGCGCAGAGTGAAACTTTTGCATTTTAATCAATGACAAGAGAATGAACGGCTAGCCAGCTCTATTAATTCATCCCGTTCATCGTCCCTACTCAAACCGAGGTCGATGGAAAACAACCCTTTACGTGAAGATAGTTATTATTAAGGAGAGCAAGGAATAGAACAACTCACTCAACGAGATACAACGCTGTCACAATAAAATAATCCGTTAAGGACTAGAATTTGACTTTTTTAGGATTAAACTGAAGCCGGACAGTATGATCCAAGGCAAATATTGTGAAAGCGACGTATACATGAAATTTAAGAGCGAACGTGCATTTTAGTGGGAACGCAGCCAGAAACGCCCGCTTCGCTCGTTGGGTACGCCCGCTTCCCACACAATTTGCTGTAGAGCACTATAACTTCTCACAGGAAGCCAACTCGCGGGTAATATAAACTAAAGAAACTGTGAAGTGAGTAAATAGGGCGGAGGGGGAATGATGCGAATCATAAATAGCGCCAATATATCAGTTTGCTTCGAGTAGATAGTAAGTATTTGATATGAAATCCCAAAAAAGGACTAGCCGATAAGGAGAAAAAAATGGCTTTGACGTCAAGATCGAAAAGGTGATAAATGAGACTGAAACTGGGTAATTAGCTAGAAAGAGTAACCGTAATCACGTGCTCGGTGATGCCTCATCATCGATCTTTGACACTTTTAGAGGTCATTTGATTGCAAAGCGATTCACGAAGGACATGGAGCGAGCAGAAAGAGACAACAGGAGGTTCTAACATTCTAGCGCAACGCGAGAGTCGCTCAGTGCGCCAGTTTGCTCTCTTAAGGAATACGCTTCTTGGAAGACTGTCGAACATTTGTGTTCCTGAAGGTATGGATGGAGCAAACAGTTGATAATCCTTTAGTACTTTGAGGACCTCTACGGTTGTCCACGGCTGAACGATCTTATCCCGTTATGGAAAATTTTAGAAATGGCATAGGGAGGAAAAAAATATCAACATTCAATGTGCACTGAGTTCATACCACGGAATCGACAGTTACGCTTAGAACACGTCGCCAACGAAGACCAACAGCATAAACAAGCGCAGCGTCAACAGCATATTTATTTGATTTCTAGATTGACACCTGGCTGGTATGTTTGCATTCGGTATTAATAATAGACGGACACTCTGTTCACACACTGACCCCGAGGTTGTCGTATTTCGCCGGCACCCGAATGCTTCTGTTAAGTTCTTAGGAAATAGAGACTGCTTGAAGTCATGGTGTACGGCGTTGAGTCTTACTTAGAAAACAAAGGTCAGCAGTCAGGTAAAAGAAATCTCTCGAGCGAAAGCACGTAGGCGGTAGAACTTCTTGTCCATGATTTGATGGTTTTCCAATTCGCACAACGATTCTCTAATCGGAGTCATAAAAAACCTTTTCGGCTTCAGGAACATCAGAAATATCCTATGCTTGAGGTGTCGCTCGTTACTATGAATGCTGCAGGATGGCGTAAGAAATAGATGAAAGCTATAACCTGTTGTGAAAATCGAGGAATTGTTAGAAGAATCAGAACAAGTTGTTGAATGATCTAATGCGACTTTTGAGCAGCGACCATGAGTTGCAATAATTCTCAATTGGAATAGATCTAAGAAAGTGTTGATCAGAAGAGTCGAAGAAACATGGTAACAACCCCAATCTCCGAGAAGGTAAATGTGTATATGGATCTGAGAAAACTGAAAAGTACCATGAAGAAGGAAATGTAGGTAAACTGGAGAATAGGAGAAACACGATAGCGGAACAAGAGTTAGCTAAATGGAAAAGGTGTATGCTAAATAAGAGGTATGAAAAAAGAGTTTTAGAGGAACGACGGAAAAAGGTAGATGCTTTCTGATCTGGATAAACAATATGAACGATTTCCGATTTTTCAGATCAATTCCTATCTAAATTTCATTGCTTTTTGTTCGAATCTTGGAGATCACAGAGCATCCGCGCAGCTGAAAAAAGTACTGAACGCATATGAGGTCTCGAAGAGAAGAAAAATAGCGAGAACAATTACAAATGCATTCATGCATCCAGGAAATCAAAGGATATACGTTACTACGATTGATTCGGTAGCGTTCAAAAAGAATTATGCAAATATCCAATTTTTCGAGAATAGTGAGGACTGGAGTCAAAGTAACTGAAACACACCATTACTGGAAAGACCATAAAATCGTGAGAAGCTTCCTAACCCGGCAGTTTCTAGAGCGCTTCGCGAATTCGTTTTTGATGGTATTGTTGGTTATTCAACGATGAACGATTATTAAATTTCTGTTTTGGTCACAGTGAAGGGCGCTACGCAGGCCCAAAGCATCAAAGTTGCCCCAACCGTCTGACCTCCAGTGGCCACGCCCAGCGAGCGATAGGTCAATACCCACAGACTGAGTGTGAGTGGTTGTGGCAAATGGACGTCAACAACGCGCCTATGAAAAGTCTGAATACAGTAACTCGCTCGCGATAAGGACAAATGGGATGATCAATGGGAACATGGGTGATGTGAGTGACACCATCAAAGCTGACTCGTGTAGTCATTGATTTCTTGCACCTCATGCACCCAAGAATGTAACGCACTCATTCAGCGATCTCACACGATACTAGTAAGGGGCACGCCTACTGTCACTCATTTTAACACCATGCTACCACTTTACACCTGAAGGGCTACCGCCTCTAGCCGGCCAACTAAATTATTGAGGTTCATGACATTCCCGCCGCGTCTTGTACTTCCAAGCATGTAGTGAGATGCCAGTGGGGAACTCATTTCTTGCATTTTGTTCTCGAACATTCCTGATGTTTATAACACAACCTTAACGACTTCATGATATCGTTGTAGTCCCAATGACTGTTTTTTGAAGGAGCTATCAAATTGTGATCAATCCGACGTGAGAAGAAGTTACCATTTTGGCTCTGCTCAGAGGCTTCCGATCGTCTTCCATAATGTAATATTCATTTCTTGCTAACGACACTACTACTGCTACCTTGCTCGACTAGCAACTAGTAGTGATCTGAAAAACTAAACGTTTCAAGAGGGTAAGGTAGTGGAGACACTGTTCCTAACTTACCCCAGCATAATGATAGCAAGTTGAAAGGCAATTTCTCTCCGCCTGGCACTTTCAAATGACCACTGCATTCTAAAATTTGTTTTCCACACTAGTTCGTAAGAGCTGAAGTTGTATTCGTATGAACTGCTTTCTTTTCTTTTTCGTGCTTCACCCATTTCATTTCGTATATATTGCAACCAGTTTCGCAGTTTTACCATTTTATTTGCAGAATTTGCTCTCAGTTTGTACTTGTGAACCTCCATTTCGTACACCGTGGGACCATCTTCATAAATTTCCTAGTGTGGACAAGGGGGTACCACTGGCCGCCTGTTCACAGCATAGCAGAAGTGGGGTTTCTGGTTCGAAGCCCTGACGCTATGTTTATGGTTACCGTTCCTCCGCGACGATCTGCCTTCTCTTCGTGCGCATGGAAAGTTGAACCCGAGATCGTCAACATTGTAGGTCTCAGCAATCATACGAAAAGTTCCATAAACCCATATCATGCCTCATACTCATAAACTATTAACGAATGAGCGTAGCATATCATGCCTCGTGGTCTCTATACCTCGCGCTAGTTAAAGGTGAACTTGACGACGTAGGAAAATGTCGTCGGTGCCGTGTTGATTGCATCATGTTGATGCTTACATTTTTCATCCGATTTTTCGTAAATATCTCAATAGCGAACCAGCTTGAAGATTAGAGGTATGCACCATTACTGTCCACTGCTCGATGCCAACGCTCAGGCAGCTTGTCGTTCCCATCCTCCCAGAACGAAGGAGTTGGAAGAAGTAGTCAAGTGCCTTTCTGACCTCAACTCTGTGTCGAACTTGTGAAAATTGTGCGGCATTGTGACCTTCAAATGATAGCTATTGGGATGAGAGAGTAATATGCACCCTTCAAGCACGCGTGATGGCGAAATATCCACGGAAGGGTCAAACATGATGGAAAAAAATATATATCAAACTAATAGATTCATACACATTCGACGCTCAAAGTCGTCAAATGTTTTCCCTTGAGTTGAGTTATACCGCAGTCGTCGTCTATCCAGCTTGTGATGACTTGTTTCTGTTCCTTGTAAACCTGTGGCCTCCATTTCCACCGCAGCACCTTTCCAGGACACAACCATCCTGTGCGAACTCTTGATGACATGGTTAACGGTCGCTCGCTTTCCATATATCGGATGACACATTAAAAAGTTTACGAAAGTGGTTGCAAAGTTTACAAAATGGGGTTCACAAATGCGAAGCTGACTGCAAAATCTACGAAATAGAATGGGGAAACTACGAAACTGGTTGCAACTCCTGCGAAATTGAATGCAACGTTTACGAACTGGGCCATTTCAAGTCATCTTTGCAAGGAACAAAGACCTCAATTCAGCGCTCTTCTCGGCACACTAATACAATAAACTGTAGCAAAAGAGAGTGTGAGTAAAAAGCACACCTATACCACCTCTCCCAAGTTTAGTTCAATCATTGAAAGCTTTTCCGTCGCTAACCGTCGTTTTGCATTAATTTGGAAAAAGGCTCGAACTGTACTGAAAGGGAGACCAGTGGATAGCATCTGTCGTATTGGACGAAAAGGTTAAACAACATTATCTTCTTTCCAAGTAGTGAGACTTTGCTTTGGGGAAATCCGCAAAATGAGGTTTCCACGTACCAGACGCGACGTCGGCAGTTGAGAAGCGGTAGAAACAACGGCTTCAAATGAAGTCTTAATGCGTGATCTGAATTCCTTAGTTGAAGTAGAGGGCTTCCGCTAGTGTCGTAACCACTGGTATTTCCTTGGACAGTGGGCATTGCACTGAATGTGCACAGCTACTCGTTGGTCTTCCCTCATATCAAAACGACGGTTTGCGACGGATTAATCTGATTGGATAAAGTGAGTAACCGCAAATGTTCTTCGCACTGGCACTGCTCTTTCCGCTATAGTTCGTAATGATAATGAGCTGAGAAGAGCAGCTTTTTTTCTTTTACGGTATTCCTTCGGTACGCTGGTATACTTATAAGTAGAGCATGGCTTTGAAATTTCAAGGGCAAACTCACCCGCAATTTGAGCCATGGTCCTCCCCGTCACTGGAGCTCGAGAGAATGGAGCAGACCAAGCCATCGCATTTTAGCGCTTCCCTTTCAGCAGTTACACCGTTCGAATGTTCATAGAGTTTGCCGTAGATGAGAGGCGAAGTGTGATAGATAACGCCAGCGCTGCCAACGTGGCTTGCGCCCTCGCGTCACGTGACATCTTGTTCTGCGTCTCCTCCGTTCGAATACACTCTCGTGTGTTCCCGTGCGTTTCCGCAGCTGTGGCGCCCAAATCTTCCATGTCGCACATCTTCGCAAAGTAAAGCCGTATTGGTAGTGGGCGTGTGAGTGTGCGATGTGCGAACAGATGTTTTTGTGGTGGTGAAATAAATGTCCCTTGTGCTTCTTGGTGTAAAGCATTGTCTTCAATCTTCACTCTCTAGTGAAGAGTGAAGATAATGCCTTACACTGCCAAATAGAAGTTCTAAGGAGTACATTGTGTAACATTAATACAAGAGAAAAAACAAATTATCGTAGAAAACCGTGGAAATTGACCTCGCTCACTATGAAAGTAGCAACATTATGACATGTCAGTTGGGCTACGCACGCTAATGCGTGCCAACGGTCATTTCATCACGACAACTGGTGTAAATCTAGAAAGAAAAACCTGCTTATTTGAAACCTAAACTGCTCCACAGCAGCGACCGCAGCAACATAAATAAATTGGTAGTTGGTAGCAGTAGTAGAATAAAATCAGAGCAATACTTGACGAATTCGGCAGCAGAAATCAGGAGAAGAAGCGCTTAGTCGAACAATGTGGTGAATAGCGAGGTAGTGACTTACATGACCATCGGCGCCCCAGCGCAATTCTAGGAATAGATTCATCCCCCACCCTGGGTAGGGTACCTCCCTCCCCAGGGTTCCCAGGGTGGGGAGTGAATTAGGTCGCGCTTCTCTGAGCTCTCGCTAAGGTAAAGTCGCAGAGGCAAAGTCACATGATTACCGAGGGCTGTCGATTCTTTACCTGTTTGTGGGAAGCAAACTGTTTCAACTATCTTCACATAGAACAAAGGCAAAAACACCATTTGAACGATAGCGCCCTTCGCAAACATTTCCTTGGGGAGACTCTCCCCTTCACTACCCTGAGCGTTATGCATACGGCCCTTCATCGCGCCTACGTGACATTTGGGGGACGGGCAATAAGCGCGTACGAGGGCGCGCGCGGCAAATTGCGCGGCGAAGTTCGTGACGATTTTTACGACTCTGACGCCAATTTTCGGGGCACAAACTCTAAGTAGAGTAGTTTAGGTCAGATGACCTTTCTAATCTACTCTACTTCAAATTTGGGCCCAAATGATAGACGCTAAAGTCGTTCAAATCGTCACGAACTTTGCCGCGCAATTTGCCTCGCGCGCCCTCGGACGCACGTAGTGTCACATACCGGTGACTTTTCGTGGACAGACACACAACCCGGCATACAAACAGACACACAAAGTTAGCGCTTTATATATAGGCGAATCTCCAGTGGGTCGGTTCGTCCTTGTTGTGAACCGATAGGCAGAGGAAACTTCTACATGAGCAAACGGCTTCACCAAACACTGTTTCCCATTACATCTCTGATGCTTCATTTCCTCATTAGAATGTTATGTTCTTGTTCAGACAGACTCTAGATAAGCGTTGTGTTTCTGATGCATTCGTTAGCGTGCGCAGCCCAACTGGTCGTATGATATTCCAGGAACAAACATAATCGATCGCTCGTCCATTTCCAGTTTCCAACATTATCGTCAAAACAGTAGCTAAAGAGACATCTTCGTTCAATATCGACTGGACTCACCACGTCGTGGTTTTATCTTCACACCTCATTTTTACCTCAGAACAGATCAAAATTTCTGCTCTGAGGTCAGAAAATCAATACCGCGTTGAGCCCATATTAAAGTTGACAGGCAAACCCTGTGGATTCTGCATAACAGGAAACCAAAGAGAAAAGTAGTTGGAATAGCAGTACAAAAAAGAAAGCAGAAATCGACGGAGTATTCAAGAAAGAACCAACGGGAGGAGTGTTCAAACATGGACGGCTGTGGTACGGCAGTGGTATTGATTGTGGCGCGCTCTTCAAACGCGGCGCAACACAATAGTTGATGCTGGATGCGCGTGATCTCGGCCAGTCGTGCCAGGACCCTTCGCCGTTCACATTATTTGACAAGACCAATCTAGGTGACCTCTTCGAACGCAGTGACCGCCGTGGAGCCTCATGACGGGTTCCCAGATTGTTGGAGATCCATGAACTTCTTATTTGGTACAGGTTCCGGGAAATTTCATCTGGATACTCGCAGGGATGGCTCATTTCCAATGTATTTTGTAGCCGCCATATTGCAGCTGTAATGCGGTCGCCCACAGCACCCGAGAGGACTGCTGTGGGCCACCGCAGCTCAGCTGCAGCAAAATGAATCAGGAGATACGGGTGTATGTCTTTTGGCGCAGCGCTTTTCGCAGCATTCGTCATTGCGTCGCATGGGCTTCGACAGCCTGTCAAACGCCTGAAAAAGTTTTTTTTTTTATGGAGGAGTGTTCATTCTGGGAGACTATGGCTTCGACTCCTTCGGCGATTCTCCCCACGGTCCGTCGAGTCCAGGTCACGCCGCAACCATCTTACGCGGTGCGACTTAGTCTGCAGCTCGCGATTCTTGACGGACGTCGCCGTTGTTAGTGGTCATACGATTTGCGCTTGGGCCACGGCAGTCAGCTCAAAGAGAAGATAACATGGACCAAAACAAGTCATTCGCTCCATTGACACTTTCTAGTACTGTAATGTGATCTCCAGATCCGAATATGGGCTGTGCCGTGCGCGGTGTTCGACCACAACACCAGTAAATTTCAATCACAGTGGATTGCCTCGCGACGCAACCTTGCCTCTGAAAGGCCGCGCCAGGACTTAACCATCCCAGCTGCGAAGGACTGCGCCAAACGGCTACACCTATGAGTCTTTTAACCCATTGGCGACCGCGCTTTTATATTGTCCTTACATTAACCTTTATTTTCTCTTATATCTGTAGTTAGAAATGAATGATTCCTGAACCGCAATGCTTCATGATTCTCTAGAAGGCTGTGAGCTCAGCTGTTATATGACAACATAAGAAGTTATGGGAACGTCTGATAAATAATATAAATACCCCAGCGAGCCAAAAACGTACGTCCTGGCATCAGGACGCATGGTCGCCAACGTGTTAAATTATCTTTTGAGAACATCGAGGGAGTAGTGAAGAAAACAAAAACATTCGGCTCCACGCTCACCCTTTCGACACTGCAGTCCTTCATGCTTTAACATACGCCTCAGAGGCTTGGACTACACGAAGAGCAGGATATTTTATGCGATATCGTGATGACCGTTGGACCATGACGGTTACGGAATGGATCTTTGGGGACGTCAAAAGAACACCACGGCGGCCGCTAGCGCGATAGTTAGACTTTTTCACGAGTGCTCTGAACGAAAGGAGTGGCCGCTTTCATAGTCCTTGATTTGGCCTGCGACCGGTCGCGCGACTGGTCGCAGGCCAAATCGTGGACTATGAAAGCAGCCAGTGTTTTGCCCCGTGTGCCTTGAGCGAGTACAATTCACTGGACTACTCTGACTCGAAACAGGGACGAATGGAGCGTTTCTGGCGCCCATTCGAGAGAAGAGGGGTGATACAGGTGATCGCATGTTATCACTTTCTCATCGAACACCCATGTCTTCTACGTAAAACTCTTCTATAGCCACTAACTTATGAGTAAATCTCACTGAATTTCGTTCAATTGATGTTCAAATGCATTTTATCAGTCCTTACCAGTTATTAGCCATTTAAAAACCCTTGATGCCAGCCCTTTTCAACCTTTACTGTCTAGCCCACAGGCGTAATGAGTTCAGTAGCTCTTGCTTCCAAACACCCTTACCACTTTTTGTAACTTGTTATAATTTTTTGTCATCAACATCGATGTCCCCATTTCAACAGGCGTCAACACTTATCATCAAGTAAATACAAACGAAGTCACCAACATTTCCTTCTAACAACCCTTACCTCTCTTACCACTTGCTATCACTTCCTACCACTTACACTTTACGTCGCTATTCTGTCCTTTTAACACTTTACGTCGCTATTCTGTCCTTTTATCCCTTTCAAATTTGGATGGCCTGCATTCTATGTGAAGAAGGTTGGAATTGTAGTCGCGTTGAATTTATAAACAAATATACCAGCCGATAAACATTGCCACCTATACTCTGGACTTATTTTTAATGCCGAGAATTAACCGATAAAACACTTCTAAGCTTAGAATTCTTCCGCTTGGAGCTATATTTATAGGTTAGTTCTCGGCACTTCTGTACACATTGATGATGTAGCCTGATCACGTGGTATAACTGAGTTACAAACAACAACAATAACACAACAACAACACTAACGGAACATGCAAAATAATTGATTTGGCGCTTATCAGTATGTGTCAGTTTCGCCAATTAGGCTAGGGAAGCCACCTGACAGCAGAGAGCTGATAGCTAGATATGGGTCCTAAGAAGGCTTGAGCCTCCCTATCAGCCTTATTAAGCCGCCACCTTGAATAGGTTCTTCAAGCCACGTTAAGTGTGTGTATACTGCGGTGAATTATTGAAGGATGGTATGAATAGTGACGTATACACCATGAAAAGGATGTGAGCTTGACTGCGATATTACCATCAACTATAGGATCATTTTGAAACACTAAAATATTGTTGTTCGGAAGGTTTTGGCTCATGTATCTCTCGGCTAGGTGTCTTTTATATTGAGTGAATCCAATAACTCTGCACATTACACCTTACGGAGGCAATGCTCAAATAAGAACGCTGTTTTATTTATATTTTATATTGGTTCCTAAGTTTTAACAAAGGTAAACGTACCTTTGAGAGTCCCCTGTAAGTCGTTCATGATTGATGGCGTTTGAAGCAATCACAAGAAATCCACATTAGTCTTCTCAAACTTCTGAAGCTCGAAATATCGAGCTCACACGTTTTCACAGCGATACGATACAATTTCTGGTTTTTACGGCAGCCTACCATTGAGCTGCGTTCACACTACGCGCCTTTCAATAAAAGTGGATGGACTGCCTGCGGACGACAGAGCCTGATGGACGGTAGGCGCCGACTGCGCCAGCCGTCGATCGATATCTAACAGTCGGCGGATGATGCTGTAATAGTTTTTTTCATTGAGGGTCGGAACTTTATAGGAAGTTCATTAAAAAATGAAGCTGAAAAGCTTACATGGAGAGAACTGAATAAACTCGTACTGGGAGTAAACTATTTAATATAGAATATAAAAAACCATAATTATTCAGTACACAAAGGGTCAGGAAAAACAGGCATTTTCAACGCTTGAGTAATCAGTTATCACATTTGCCGTTGATCAATTGTTGCATTAGTGGTGGCCGGTGTGATATTGATTAATGCATCTTCGCTGCGAGCCGTCCCTCGCCCATCAGCTTTTATCAAAAAGTGCGGAGTATATACTGTCGTAGACGAGAGCTCATTCGATTCTGTGGGCACTGAAAGTAGCACGTAGAGGGACTCTCGTCTTCAAGCCCGGAACGTTCCATGAAAGCAGGTTGCGGGAGTTTGAAAAAAAAAAACGACGAACCTTTGTCAAACAAATGAAGGTTATATAGTTTAGCAGAGTGGTTTGTTATCATAAATTTTTCATTCTTCATCTGTTTACAAATCGGCAAAGTTTCACGAATATCACGAACAAATTAGTTTATTCCATCATAGAAAACAAAAACAAGGAATGCGTGTTGGAATCCATCCAAAAAAAAACAACATAAAAACGGAATGCTGCTCAAAATATTATAGAAATAATGTGAAGACTAATGAGGATGTGATGACTAGTCTCATACTGAACGATAAAGCGTATTTCTGAAGACATTATGAAACCCCCTCCCACACCATAAAGGTTTCCGTGGTAAAGAGGACATGCCTATAGCCAAGTGCGCCTCAGGGAATTCACCACACTCACCATGCCCATTACCTTAAAAGACACGATTTATGCCATTTTCTAAGACTACTGAAATGTTACTTGAATGCAGGCGTGGAGGAAATGGGGCGCTATCGTGGCAAAAATTGGCTTACATTAGATAAGGCGTGGACAGGCACTGAAGCATCATCAGCAACGCTTCACGACAGCGCCGCCTACGATTGGACGTGTAATGGCTTAAATGAGGCGTGGCTAGGGTATTTTTTTCAGCACCATAGTGTGTAAGCGGTTTATTGTGATTGTTGCCTTTGATCTGGAAAACGATACAGAATCACATGAAATATATCAATAACAAAACATTTCTATGTTTAGATGCGCTAGTATAGTCTGCTCAAATATTAAAAATATAAATACCAGTTCTTTGAAAGCGCAGTCAGACGCTACTTGTTCGAAATATAAGTAGATTAACCCTTCACGGGTTGAATTTTGGTTTCCTAGAGATAGGAAACTGCCTGTTCTTCGCCTACAGCATGCGTTATGACAGGATTTCCTGTTGGCGTACAAGATCCTGTGGAGTTTGATTCCGTACAACAGATTACACTTCCAAGATCGGATGTGAAACACGACGGTTTCCAGTATCCCATCAAAATGGACACTCTCGTGGAGCTCGTTCTCTGAAAATGAATATGTGTAGAAGTACATCTGGTTAGAGGATTCAAGCATTTAGTTAACTAATTTTTCATAAAATACTGCTTTCTAGACTTACTCCTGCTAATGTGGATATTGAAGAATCCGTTCTATTGCCCGAGCGACCTACTGATTCTGTAAATAGCACAGAGTTTCTATATCACACATTAGTACAGCAAAAACATCAGATTTGAAGTCGTTTGACCAAGAAATTTCGAGAAATTTACTCATTTTCTTATCATGAAATAAAAACTCGATTAATTCGAATTATCTACAAGATTCACTATCTCATGCAGAAGATCACCTTGATTTCTTGAGTCCGGCAGTCTGAGTTCATCATTGACCCGTGTGTTTAGCCTTCTACTACTTCTACAACGATTGAGAATTTTATATTTTCTGAGAAGTAGATAGAGCACCAACTCGACGATAAGTCCAATCAGGGAACATGCTGAAATGAAAACTCAACCACGTATTAGTATCACGAAGGTGAAAAAAGCAGAGAGCTTAGTAGTGGTATCATTGTTGTATCTGGCTCACAACAGGGTAGTCGATACAGTAGCCTAGATGCTTATGGTAAGATCAAAGGGGAACTGGTTGCCCTTCAAGAATTGATCCTGAGGTAGGTACGGGAGCGATGTGGGAGTGCCAAGTGCTTGGACGAGTTCCATCGCTGAACGAGAAATTTCATCCGAGCAGCTGGCGCCTAGGGGTGGGTTGGGGTAACGGAACTTCTCCCCTATCGCGGCATTCTCCCTTGCGGCATGCGGCAAATGTCACTGCAATTACCGTACTCACCCCGCCTCCCGCCAATCGATAGGATGCGATATTTTTCCATGACTGACTTGCTTTATCATTGGATTTTATCGTTTTTTCTTCTGTTTCTTTTTAGTTTTCATGTTTATTAGACTTGGTTAGTTAAAATGACTCCTCCTATATAAACGGCGATCAAGACCGCATTGGAATTGAGAAGAGCGGCCACCCAACTCGAATAATTAAAGGACTCCCTACCTCACAAATTGCGCGCTCCAATCTTCCATCGCAGTCCTGCGATAGGCGGCGGGTGCGGCGTGTGCGACGCCGTGTTAAGGGAGAAGTTCCCGGACCCGGGTGGGTTGCCCCCACCGAGGGGCGTAGAGCGCTCGCCGCATAATATCGCGCGCAAACTCGCGCTGTGAGGGGAAGTTTGAAATTCCGGTGGAAGATTACGGTAGTTGCTGCAAAGCCTTGCCATTTGCGGGGGTTACTACGAAACTACTGCCAACCCTGGTACCTCTGCACCACTCTCGTATCTGCCTTTGAGCTTTCAGTAGTGAGCCAGCATCTGATCAGTTTGAGGGCTTTCCTCGATTGTCGTCACTTGTCGCTTCTGCTGTACAGCTTCAGCCTTTATTTCATTTAGGAAAATGAGCTCACCACTGAGAACTATGCACAAGGTGCACATCACTTCACTATGGTCGCTCTTATCACTATTATTACTTTTTTCTGTTGTCATTTCATAAGGCTGCATCCAAGTCGTCTCTGAATCAATTGGATTACCCAATTATAAGTTAGCATTTCTGTTTTGAATGCACTTTCAACCTTCAAGTTGATGCCGTAGTAGCACAGCAGTGTGCAACGATTGAACCTGGGCCATCCCTTCAGTTCCAGATCGACGAGAGACTGAATTCCTCTCACCGCACGTATAAACCTAAAAAGAACGATTGAATTCAACCAAGCGAAAATGTAAAATTAGAAAGGATCGGCGCAATGGGGCGTAACTTCCAGATTGAGCCGTGCATTCGACTTTCACTTAGAGCATTAATCGATGTGCGACGCAAACTATACAGATATGATATAGGCGCCTATTCAGATTCCACCTCAACTTGCTAGGATGCTTTTAGNAAGCACACGTGAAATGAAAGCGAGGGCGAAATGTGGTAATACTCGTACCCGGAGTAATAGTAAGTAGGCCGAAAAGTATATAGGACAGGTTTTGTGGCAAGATGAAATAAGAGATATAATGAGAAGCTAGAAGTCGCTTGGTAAATGAGGTTGTTTGGTTGAGTTCGCTACTCTGCTTTCAGGCTATTCATTTAAGTATAGATCTGCTATGGGGGAACGTCCGTTCCGCGCGTCCGTCGAAACTAGGTCCCACCGCCCACTTCGCGCACGGTGCAGCTAACTGCGATTTCGAGATGACATCACAGCGCCACTAGGTGTCAGTTCAGAGAATGATTTGTACTAGTCCGTGTTATCTTCTCTTTAGGCCGTCTGCCGTGGACCAAATGCAAATCGTATACTCCGCTGACAACTGCGGGCTGAAGCGTCGCGTGCGACGGCTGCGCGGTGACCTAATTCCGATTGTCGCGTGGAACGAAACGTACCCGCCCGCAGCAGGTGTAGTTGGTTCAATGGCAAGTGGCGCTCTACCACACACCAATGGTCGATGGATGCCAAACCTAGATAGATATCCGCTCTGACCAATAATCCGTCCATCCCTTCGGGGTCGGTTAATTGGTACCAGACCCGTTTGGGAGGATAAAAGCCCTGACTGTGTATTGGCTGGCCACCACAAGTCATTGTGTGGGGGAAACTAGGTCCCACCGCCCACTTCGCGCACGGTGCAGCTAACTGCGACAGGGCGCTCCCTTCAGACTGGATTGATTGAAGCCAAAAGGCTTTGTGCTAAATATGTATATCCGGAATAATCTCTCACATTCGCTGTTGCTGTTTCAAATTGATAGACAGGTTTCTGAGTAAAAATAGAATACATGGCTTAGTTTTTATGGATAACTGGATAGACGAACACAGAGCTAATTTTTTGAGTGCTAGCATCGAAGTAACTCCACATACCTGGCATTCTTCGCGACACGGCGTCACTTGACAACTGTAGATGATCTCAGTGCCTGACGGAAAAGGGAACGCAGAGAAGATGTATGCATACCATCCACTGTCAGTTCGAGTAAAATTCGTTAGGAGCGATGGGTACAAAGAACATCCTCGACTATCCGATAGCTGAAAACAGCCACAGTTTTTCCTTCATTTTGAATTGTCCCCAACACAGTAGACATAGTGGTTCGGTGTAGGGGGGGGGGGGGGGGGNTGCGGCATGATCCCCAGCGATGATCAAGACTGCATTGAGATTAAAGAAAGCGGTCAGCCAATTCAAATAATTGAAGGACTCCCTACCAAACAAATTGCGCGCTCCAATCTTCCATCGCAATCCTGCGATACGCGGCGGGTGCGGCGTTTGCGACGCCGTGTTAAGGGAGAAGTTCCCGGACCCGGGGGAGGGGAGTTCTGTGAAATGGAAGAAGGTCATTTATAAAGCATCAGAGGGAGTACCGAAAAAATAACTCACAAACTGAGGTTGACTGCAAGGATGTCTGAAATAAAGAAATGCTTCTTCCCTACCTTATGCACAAGGTTTCTACCGTATACACGCTTCCATTTCTTGTATTTCGCTACCGATTTTTGTTTTTTTTTTTTGCTGAAAGTACTCATGAACGAATATGCAATATGGATTCAATTCTTACCGTAGTCGCACTATAGTTTCATACTACATATTACTACGTGGTTATATGGTCATGGATTCAATCCAGTTACGGAGCGCGAACTACTGGCCGGTCTACCATCTTCCACGAACGGGTCGCGTCGCCGCACGTCATCGCGCGCTATGAAGGTAAAGATTTAAATTCCCGATGGAAGTATACGGAGAGTCACCGCGAACTGCCACAGGTCGTGGGAATACAGGGAGAAGTTCCGTTACCCCGTACTGGCTATTTTGCGACATTCTACGACTAATAGTATTTTGGAGCGTTGGAGGGATCGGAGGTATTCGGATCCATACTCGATCTTGAGGCCTGACCTGAGGCCATAAGCATGCAGAAGCATTTGTATGTATGTTACTATGAGGCTACAGAAACGTACTTTGATTGCTGGGAAGTCGCCACACTGAGCAGAACAATTCCCAACACGGAAGTTGACTTTGTTGGAAGTCGTCGTGACAGCCAGAGTATATTGCTTTGTATAAAGTACTTCTCGGACAGCAACGCCATTATCGCTCTCACGTACTGACATAGTTAGCTTCTCCTGTGTTGACCTGAAGTGTCCTCAAATTTTTGTATAACAAAATGAATGTGATTAAGTCGAAAAAGCGCGCTAGATTCCATTGATATCTATCGCTTGGAGTTGACCCTTCTTTTCACAAACAAACCCAATAAATACCCCCTACAAGGGTACGGAGCTTTTTGCCTGATTGACGTGCCGCGCATGTCGCAGTAGCCGCGTACCCGTTGCGGAAATTGAAGGGTGATTGGAGCGCATAACCTACAGGCCAGATTTGAATGATTGGAGCATGGTTCCTGTACGTGAGTACTGTCATTGCAGTTTGACGTCGCAAAAGATCGGTCGTGTGCATGTGCGCGTCTGTGAGAAGTGGGGCACAAATGTGCCCCTCCATGTTCAAGACGAACTCGTAAGAATTGCTGACGCCATTTTCATTAATCTCCTCCTTTCAATATCATATTTCTTGGGACTGGTAAATGCTTGAATACCATTTATGCATTATTCAATTGTCCCCGGTGTAGGATCTCGCACCCGAAGCACCCTTGTAGCAGCATACAGTGAAAAGATAAAGTTTGAGATTCTAGTGCATGATTACGGTAATTGCCGCAAGCTCAATGCCGCGAGCGTGCGTGCGACTGTGGGAATTCGGACGACACTTTTTAGCCCTTTTTGGGCCTCATGAATGGCAGAAATTCCGTGCCATACTCTCGACTAAACGGTTTTTGCTAAACCTTCCGAAAACGTACTGCTTTTTGAAAGTCTTCTTGCTCCCGTGACACGTCACATTGAGAACGACATCCTCGTCGACGATGACAATTGAATGCGAATGTATCTCAACGGTGACTACATACTGGTCGAGTTCCTAGACCTAGAAGCTTCTATAAACTGTCATAAAATGATGGAATGTCGCCCAGGATTGCGAGTAAAAATGAAAGCAGAAATAAAGTAGTCAACTCTAGAAACAGTTACTTAAAGGCACCGTTAGCAATAAATTTAGGGTTTTGACGGGAATTGATAGAATACTCTAGAATAGAGCCATAACAATGAAAAAAGCGCAAAAAAACGATGAACAAAAAGAATTACAGAGGGTCAAAAAAAAAAGAGCTGGAAAGGGGGGTTGGACGAGTTTCACATTGAAATAGCGGCGGTTAGGGAGTGTTCGGGCGAGTGCACGAAGGCGACGCAATGTGTTGCCTGCAATAGCAGACAACACATTGCGTCTCTGGCAATTTGCCAACCAGCTTATCGGCTTTTCACCAACTTCGCTCCAATGCGAAAGTGGTGAACGGCAATTAGATTTCGTAGTCAGCCTAGCGAGGGGCGGGGGGCAACCGTGGATAACACTCCAGCACCTTATTGTGCCCTATCCAGCCGTTTTCCGACCTCATTCCTGCACAAACGGTATCAGAGGGAGCGTCGAATTCAAACCATGTGTAAATCTCCAGAACCATTTTTTCGTGAACAGTGCCTTTAACAGGTTACACTCTGGCAGAGCAAGTGACCTACCCGCTTGAGTTATAAACGAATCCTCTCTCTCGCAAAACCAAATAAAAATGCGTAAAACGCACCTTATTGTAGCGAACTCCGCAGTGATCGTCTTTCAGAGGCAACTTCAGAACGGCAACGTTCAATCCTACACCCCGACTACGACATTCGGTTCCGGAAGAGTCTTTCGTTGAGATGAGACCTTCAAAAGGTGATGGCGATTGGACGAACACGGAAACTGTGGACGC